TGGTCCAGAAGAACCATGAGTAAAGTATATAATAATACTTATGTTATATTATTACTAATTCGTATAAGTTTAGATAATGATATCAAAATATCACGAGTTGCCATAAATTATTATCAATATTTGATTATCAATAGCTACTTTTACGACATCCAGAAGTAGGCATAATTTTGATGGTAAGGCAACTTGTAACAAAAATGTCATATAAGATAGTGGTAAACGCAACATAGATATTGTTCTCACAAGTATGGATAAATGAAGATGCTTTACAGTGAAGATTCAAGTTTGATCAGGGAGGATCAACTATCAATGAATGTTATTCAGCTACAAGTGTGAAGTTACTAAGGCATTGGATTCATTACATTGGAAGATCTCAAGTTTTGCATTCATCAGGGGGAGAAAATACGCGCTGCACTCTTTTTCCCTTAACCATGGTTTTGTCCCATATTGGGTTTTCCTAGTAAGTTTTTAACGAGGCAGCATGTCAAGGCGTATTACGAAAGTGTTGTACTCTTTTTCCTTCACTAGGTTTTTATCCCATCGGGTTTATCCTAGTAAGGTTTTAACGAGGCACACTATTCGATAATGGTCATCCGAGGGGGAGTGTTATATAATATATGTATTTAGTGGATGTCCATTATACCCTTATGATTATTCTAGGATATTCTATATATACTAGGCTTATTATTCTACAAGGAAACCCTAATTGTATCACATGTGTGTGTGTGTGTGTGTGTGTATATATATATATATATATACACGTACACACCACATCATTCAGTAATAAGAATATCGATCTATTCTCTCCCCTACTTTCTCCTATTCCCTTTATTTCACAACAGTCTATCTATAATAAGGGATCTAACTCAACACAGTCAAAGATTATATACAAAGTGTAACTAAAAATATACACTCCGTATATTTCATTACTTTGGTCAAAATACACTCTATCTAATGGTTGCACTTTTAATTCTATGTCATCAACATACATGTCTCAACAAATAATATATTAAAAAAAAAAAATGTCCCCAAATAAGTGTTCTAAAAAGCTAATGCAATATACACTTTTATTATTATTATTATTATTATTATTATTATTATTATTATTATTATTATTATTATTATTATTTTATCATTGAGAGTTATTTTCATTTTCATGAGTAAAAATATTTGGATTTTAGAATCAATAATGTTTTGACAATATTTACACTTTCACATAATTTATTATGAAGAATTGACCGTTCTTATGAAGATTATAACAAGTAGAGATCAATAATATTTAAATCATTAGTAACAAATATTTGAATCATTATTAACAAGGAAATAAAAAAACTATGTATTTAAAATTTGCATGTATTAATAAGTATAAAATTTGTATTACTTAACAACAAAATTACACCGATTTTTTTCAAATATCTTCTATTAGTATTATTACTAGATTAGGCCCGTGCGATGCACGGATTAAAAAAATTATTGGAATGAAATAACTTATTTCTGTTATTTATTAATCCGGACATACTTAAAAATTAGATCATAAAAACATATATGTCATCATATATAAATTACATAAGTAACAAAATATAAAAATGAAAGCCGACCAATCCGATCTAATCAAACCATATGCATACGAATTTATATGTCATCTAAGAGTTCGAAATACAAATTAAAAATACTTGTAATTTAAATAAATAGAAGCAGTTTGGAAATACAAAACAATGAAAACATTTACCGACAACATTAGTTCATTTTTGTATAACAAACATCCATATTATTAGTACATGACTTCATAGTTAGGTTGCTTGCACAATCCTTAGTTAAAAAAAAGAAAAGAAAAAAACCACGCACATACACAAAATAACATTAAAACCTTAAAAAGATAATAATAATAATAATAATAATAATAATAATAATAATAATAATAATAATAATAATAATAATAATAATAATAATAATAATAATAATATTCGTGACACCTTGGTGGTAGGGAAGTTTATGGAGTTGATTTTGGTGGAGGGACCTCGTCTCGGTCCATGTTAACGTTGAGGAAACGGAAGTTTTCTGGCCCACGGAGGACCCACGTAGCCGTCTGGTCGGTGTCTTTCCTCTAGATATTGCTCGTCCTGTTCATGGTGTTAAGTTGCTTGGTGGTCCCGTCAGTGTGGATGCCTCTTTCTGTGGTGAGCTTGTTTCGCAGAGATTGTCGAAGACCATTGTGCTCATGGATGCTGTTGCTAAGCTTGAGGATCCCCAATGTGAGTTCTTACTGCTTCGTGCGTGTACTGGGGTTTCAAAACTCTACTTTTCTATGTGCACTTGTCCTCCTCGTCTTTTTGAAGCGGCCTAAATTTCTTTTGATGTGGCCCTTCGGGGTTCTTTGGAGCGCATTGTAACTGCTTCGGGGCCAGGTTTTGGTGATTGGCAATGGCGACTAGCCAACTTACCTTTTTCTTATGGTGGATTGGGTGTCTATTTAGCGGGTGATGTTCGACACTATGCTTTCCTTGCGTCGCGTTTGCAGTCTTCTGGTCTTCAGGCTTCGCTTCTTCGCAATTCTGGTATTGTTGGTCCAGGTCCGGCCTTCGATGGCGCTCTTAGTCTTTTTAATAGGAATGTGGAGACTGACCTTTTGCGTAACCCTAGTGAGATCGCTGCCCCCAAACTCATGAAGAAATTGGCAGATATATATTTCACGAAGGTCACTGCATCTGTAGAATCCACTTTCTGCTTATCTCAGCGTCAGGTTGCCTTATGGAAGTCCCAGCAGGGGGATCACACTTCTGCCTGGTTGCGAGCGGTCCCGATATCAGGTTTGGGTCAGACTATGAATGGTAAGACTTACCGTTGTGTTCTTTGCTACCGGTTGGGTGTTCCCTTGTTCTCCGTTTCGACACCTTGTTCTGCTTGCTCAAGAGTTTTCGATGGGGATTGTTTTGGGGATCATGCAGTGTCTTGTGCTGGGATGGTGGGTATTAAACATCGGCACAATGTTGTTCGTGATACCCTTGTTGATATTTGTTTCCACTCTGGGATTTCTGCAAGGAAGGAGGTCAACGTTAGGTTGACTGGAGGGAACGATGGGGCTCTTCGACCAGCAGATGTGTTGCTTTATTCTTGGGATAGAGGCCTAGATGTATGTGTTGACTTGACGGGGTCTTCTCCATTGACACAATCTGGGTTGTCTGACTTCATTCCTGGTCGTGTTGTGTCGGCTGCGGCTCAACGGAAGCGAGACAAGTATGGGGCGCGTTGCAGAGCTATTGGCTATGGTTTTCTTCTTTCTCCTTTTCTTCATTGGGGGAATTAGAGAAGGATGTTGTTGCGTTGCTGAAGCGGGTTCAGGCGTTCGTTAGGACTCAGGATATTGGTGCTCGTGCAGCTGCTCACATCTTCAACATGATTGGGTTCACTATAGCTAGAGGGGTGGGGGCCCAGATTGTATCTCGGCTCCCCACTAATTTCTTGTAAATCATTTGACTTGTAGGTTTTTGTTGATAATAATAATAAATATTCATAGTTACCAAAAAATAATAATTATTTATTTATTCATTTATTGACACAGTAAAAAAATTGAAATAAAAATGATTAAAAATAAAAAATAACCAAAAATATATATGACATCATAAGTGCATTAGGCGGGAATTTTTTTAATGAGAAAGCAACACGTATACAGTTTGGGGAGATAATGATGTCAGCTATTTCCATTTTTAGTAATAATTAATAGATTAGGCTGTAGATGTTTTTCAATCAGAATATTATACAAAAAATAATGTCCAAATCTTTCCTGTAAGTTAGGAGAAATTCATATGTTAGAATTAGTAATACGGAGTATTGCAAGTAAATCTAACTATTATCAAGTAAGTTGTTGATTTTACTAACTTGTTATTAGAAAAGTGGTTACTTATTTCCTTTAATTTCTCTTTATATGAAAACCTATAATCTTTCTATAAATATTCATTATTCGATTGAACTCATTCACAACAACTTTACCTCAAACTCCAAATCCAACCACAGTTTCTCATTGCCATTCTTTTCTATAAAAAGTTTCCAACTCTATTTCTATCTTTTTATCAAGGCGAAAGTCATTTTATAAGAAAATAAAAACTTTAATTTTTATACTCTTCTTGAACCTTAATTGATCGTTTTTCTAACCATTATTATTTTAGTTTCTAAACTTTTTAGTGATATAAGATTGTGTACCTCTTACATTGTTGTCATCTGAAATCGTCACATTGCCCAAAATCAGGATTAATTAAGTATAACATTCCAACTATATTGGTATATATTAGTTACATGTTCTTTTCATAAGTAGCATTTTGCATTGAACTTAATTTCAGTTACATTATCCTATATATATTTATAATTTGTAAATTTCTTAGTGATAAATTTTCACCTGTATTTAATTTATATGAATGTAACAATAATGTCTCTAATCATTGGTGGAAGCAAAATACTATGTATTGTAATAATAATTACATGATCAAGGCCAACCATGATAGAATGAGGGTCAATACTTTTTAATTGTTTCAACAAAGTTGTAGAAATTAGATAAAAATTACTAATCAATTAATGACAAGAAACAAAGAAAACTACTTATATATATTTTTTTTTTAAAAAAAATTGTGTCTTTAATTAAATGAAAGACAAAAATTATGGGTGTTGTACATTAGAATTTTGTTGAAAGTTTTGTAATAGGATTTGGTCCCAAGTGTTGCCATTTAGAGAAAAGTCTTGTACAAAGTATATGTTGATAGCAATTTTAATATTTATTAGTCACTAATATATATATTCTTTTATAGATTTTTGAACGATAAAGTTGCATGACAAACAATAACTAACGATATCATCGCCTCTCTTCACTAGTGGAACACAACATATTCCAAATCTAGTGGTATGTATTTATAACCAATTACATTAGCAATCATTTTTTGAAGATTGTTTTATATTGAGATGTAAAAATATTTTACTAAAATTCGAATATACTTTTGTTACATGATTGTAGAAAAATGACGGATTCAAGTGTAACGTATAGTGTGGATGATGCACTAGTGAAATTAGGGTTTGGAAAATACCAATATTTAGTACTTGGATATGCTGGAATGGGATGGATTGCAGAAGCAATGGAGATGATGATCTTGTCATTCGTCGGACCGGCCGTTAAACTCGAATGGAAGCTTAGTGCTGCTCAGGAAAGTCTTATCACTACCGTTGTGTTTGCAGGTATGCTCGTTGGAGCATATTCTTGGGGTCTTGTTTCTGATAAATATGGAAGAAGGTATACCTAAACCCTATGATACCCGATGCATGTCATTTTTCAGGTTGTATTTCCCGGTTACTATTAATATAATTATCGTTATTGTTATTGTTATGGAATATTACTATTGCTACTATTATTCATTATTATATGATCGACTGTATATGTGTGTAGGGGCAGGTGACGCGTGGTCATCATGTGCCCCTTTTAACAATTTTCTAGTACATAAAATTGTACAAAGTATTACCTTAGTTAAAATAAAAAAACGAAAATATCATTTTTTATATTTTTTTTAAAATTAACTTCCTATAAACCAAATTATTTTGAGTTTATATAGTTTGTAGAGTTTATATCTTTATCTCAATTTCTATGATGCAAATAATTTCTCTTTTAAAATGAGCAAATAAATACAAAATGTTATAACTTATTCAAAGTTTTGGTGTACCTAAAGGTAGGTACACCCGATGAATGATAGGTGACGGACTCCCTATTTGGAAGTGCTATTTATTATCTTTGGGTTGGTAAACATTTTAATTAGATTTGTTTGTAGAATAGATCTTCTTGTTTTTTTTTTTTTGAAAAATTAGAAATAATAATCTCAACTTTCATGAATTTTGCTAGAATAATTCCAACTTTGGATTATTCTGTAATAATCCGAACTTTGGAGGTCTTCTTTAATCTCTAACCGATCAACAAAAGTCAATGACCTATTATATCAAGTCACTTGACACGTGTAAAGTCTTAATTGATCCCAAAAAAAAAATAAAAAAAAAATAAAAAAAATTACAAAAAAAAACCACCCAGCCAAAACCCCTACCACCCTAAGAGTTCCGGCAGGCCCCCCAACCTACCCACCTCCCTCGTCGGACCGTCGGACCTCCACTACCATCTAAACCACCATCACCGCCCTGCGCCGCTAATTCCCCTCCCCCAATGCCGCTAATTCCCCTCCCTACGCACTGGTTTGGGGACTCCCAACCTCCCTCCTTATCTCCTTTTCCTGTTTTCCAACGACCACTCCCTCCCCTGAAATCTCTTCCTCCACTCGATGAAAACCCTTTAAAACCACACCCCCCCCCCCCCCCGGAAAACACCAGACCTTTCTTCCTCAATTTTCAAAGGACAGCTTTTATTCTTCAAATTAAACCGAATTACATTTTATTTGATTAATCAATTCACGAAATGAAGACATATATGAAATGTAATTGCTTGAAAATTGTTGAAAATAAATTAGGGTTGCAGTTTTGGTTGATGTGTATTTTTTGATTGAAATAGAGTTTGTTTGGTAATTTCAAGGTCAGTGGCTGCGGCTGGGGTGGCTGTGGTGTTTGGTGAGGCAAGAGGGGAAGCCAACAACGGGTGGGGCTGGGAATAGGGGTCTCGGGATGAAGGACGTCAGATAGGGGTTGGAGATGGTGTTTTCAAGGGTGGGGGAGGGTCGGGGTCAGGTTTCACGGTCTGAGCATGGGTTTTTTGGTGAAAGAAGGAGAGGACAGTGGGTGGGGTTGGGGGTTTCGGTGAGCAGGGGTGGAGGGTTGGGTGATTTGTTGGTGTTTTTTTTTTAGTGGTTTTTTTTTTATTTTGGTTTTTTTTTTTTAATTTTTATATTTTTATATTTTTTTTAACCAATTAATTTATGACACGTGTCACTTTAACAAAATTTTTTTTTTACCCATTCAATCGGTAACCAGTATTTGGGATTGAAGAAAAGGAAGGACCCCCAAAATTCGGATTATTCTTGAATAATCCAAAATTGGTATTAATCTAGCAAATTTATGAAAATTGGGATTATTATTTCTAATTTTTCCTTTTTTTTTTTTTTTTTTTTTTTTTTGGGTTTAAGTCATTATCTTTGATAGTAGTATTAAATTAGTATATATTTTAAATTAATCCAAACAATTTACTTGCACAATTCTTCAGTATCAAACTCAACATGGTTGAATAATTTTAATCCAAACAATTTACTTGTATGACTCATTCACATGAATACATGATCAGCAAATGTTGGATAAGAAACATTATCAGATCAAATTTAGAGATGTGCATACTTTCATTTTTATAAATTTATTTATTTTTATGTCAATATCTTTGTTAAAATTCTACATTTTTATTACAATCACATATTTTCTAATGTATATAACTTAATTATTTCCATTGCTATCCAAATTTATGAATCTCATATAATACCAACAAATTTGTATCAGGAAAGGATATATGTTCTCAGCAGTATTAACTGCTGCAGCTGGATGTCTAAGTGCAGGTTCTCCAAATTACGCAGTCTTGCTAATATCACGTTGCATTGTAGGCAATGGCCTCGGCGCTGGTCCTGTACTACTAACCTGGTTTTTAGAATTTGTACCTGCACCTAGTCGCGGTACATGGTTAGTCCTTTTCCAAGCCTTTTGGACGGTTGGTTCTATTGTCGAGTCTGCCTTAGCCTGGGTATGTTCACTACTAGCTCTTTCTTCCCTTACCACATTTTTTTAGTTTCGACTTTTTTTATTTCTATGTTACTCAGACTCACTCAGATTATTCTTAAAGCTAATAATCCCTACCGTTTAAAAAGTTTGAAAAACTCTTATAAATAGTTTGTGAACATTAATGCCCTTAAAAATGTTTGTTACTTATTTGCCCTTATTAATGTTAATTGCATTTTTTTTAACGTTTAAGAATAATGTGCAAACATTTATACACCTAAAAATGTTTGTTTACTTGTTCACTTATTTTTTTTGTACATATTTTTTCAATGTTAAGTGCCAACAACTAAATTTGTGACATAAAAGCAAGTCAAAAGAACTCAAATTCCTTCAAATTTGATAGGTTGTAATGCCGAGGTTAGGATGGAGATGGTTGCTGGGTCTATCAGCTTTGCCCTCATTTGTTTTGCTCATATTCTACCTAATTACACCCGAGTCACCAAGGTACTTATGTTTGAAAGGTAGAAAAGCCGAGGCCTTTCAGGTATTGGAAAAAATGGCCAAAGTAAATGGCAAAGAACTGCCTCCTGGGATTCTCGCAACTGATATGGAACTAGAAGAACAAAATTTCGTCGAAGATGATGGTGCTGTATCGAAAAATTGGAAGGATACAGAAATGAGTGTACAACGATCAATTATGATACTCCTTTCACCAAAATTGATCCGTACAACAATACTTCTTTGGGTCGTGTTCTTTGGAAATTCCTTAGCTTACTATGGTCTCGTGTTACTCACTACTCAGTTAAACAATGACAATGTATGTGGTCCTAACAAGAACAACGTCGAGGATAATAGTCCCGGTGCTGGTATCAATTATAAGGAAGTCTTCATCACTAGTATTGCAGGTATGTTTTGTTAGTTAATGACAGAGTACAAAACATATTCATGTGATTCAACCATCAGCTTAATCTTTTGGTTGAGTTGATCCACTAACATGATAGATTATAAAACATATTTCTGGGATTAAATCATCAGCTAGGAATATGTTTTATACTCTATCAACTAACTTCCTATTACAATGTAACTTTGATAAAATGAACACACTTTTGACATGTTTTTTTGTCAATTCTTGAAGAATTCCCCGGCCTTGTCATTGTTGGACTACTAATTGATCGAATTGGGCGTAAGAATTCAATGGCACTTATGTTAGCTGCCTGTTGCGCGTTCTTGGTGCCTTTGGTAGCCCGTCGATCTGAAACTTTAACAACCGTTCTTATGTTTGGTTCTCGAGCATGTATTATGGGAACATTTACTACTGCTTTCATTTTTGCTCCTGAGGTATGTCAACAACCTTGTACATTTCACTCAATTTTTTCAATAATCTTTTCTATATGACTTTTAAATTTGTTTTGTTTTTATTGTACAATGTAGATATATCCAACATCTGTAAGAAATACCGGGTTTGGAACTGCAAGCTCTATGGCAAGAATTGGCGGTATGGTCAGCCCTGTCGTGGCTGTAGCCTTAGTACAAGGATGTCATCAAAAGGAAGCTGTCCTGTTTTTTGCCGGTGTAGTCTTGGCTACAGCCGTTGCTGTCTTGCTCATTCCATATGAAACTAAAGGCCGCGAATTGACTGATAGTGTTGGTAGTACTAAGCATGATAGAAAGAAAGTTACCAAAGAAGAGATAGATGTGCAAAGACCTCCAACTTTGAATAATGCCTAGGACTCTTAGCAATTACAAGGGAATTATGAAACTTCTTAGTTTTTCAAACTTCTGATCTTTTTATTCAGGAGTTTGTATGTTTTAGGTACTTTTTTTTATCAAATATAAAGAAGGTAGTGATAACTATTTGTTTTAATGTCTTAGTTTAGTTGCCACTAATTAGTGAACTTGTTTGAGCAAAAGGACTCTCCTAAGAAGATAGCATGGAATCTTTGATTATGTGATGTTTAAGTATAGGATTTGTACCTGTACTAAATTTTGAGAATTTTAGAGATCAATTAATTTTTTTATTCACATTTTCTTCATCTTTATGTTTACATGTTAATTGTTTTATATCACATTTTAGTAGTATGAATCATGATTATGTATATTGCATTCAATTACAAAATCCATCATCAATAACAGTTTTTAACCTCATACTAAAGGAGTGTTTAGAACGTGTCAATTTCAGGTGCAAATTTTTCTCGTTAATTTTTTTTTTTAGCTTCCTTTTTTTTTTTTTTTTTTTTTAGCTTCCTCTCTCTGTCTTTATGAAGAATTTATTTTTTAATTAATTAAATAGAAAAACCTAATACATTATACTTGTATACATTATCACATATTCACTTTTTGATGCCAATTAAGCATCTACATGGATGATCCTCCAATTCCTATCAAATTAAACAATTAAAATGAAGTTATTTAACCATCATTTGATATGTTGATATGAAAATTAACAATTGAAAACACATTAACTTAAGAGTTTATATTGACTGTAAACTGCTATACAATAATACATTAATATAAGTATCTAACAATACAAAGTCTAATTGTACTACGGTGTATATGATAACAGATTAAACTTTTACTTTATCTTGATTCTGTTGGGCTTGCTAATTTTGAATTGGGCTAGACATACAAGTCCAGCATGAAGCACGTTGTTTATGAGTCAAATACTTTATCTTAATTCTGTTGGGCTTGCTGATTTTGAATTGGTAAAGACATAGAAGTCCAGCATGAAGCAGGTTGTTTATGAGTCAAATTGAAATACTTGAGCTGATGATCGACTCGCTTGATTAATAGCCGTAGCCTCGATCAATGATTGATAGAGTACCGAGCCTAGCCAAGTTAAGCCGAGTCTCTTTGGGCTTGGTCTCAGCTCGGCTTATTAACACGCTTATTCCTCATCAATTTTTTTTTTTCTTTTTATTTTTTTTTTTTTTTTACATTAAGATATTTTTAAAGGTAAGGAGAAAGACTGATTGTATTTCAACCATCATGGTTTTTTTGGTTCGATGTTTATAAAGTGTCTCTGGTATGGATTAAACCTCAACTTTAAGGTTGAAAGGTACAATCTTTCCCGCTCGATAAAACTGAAAACTTTTATACAAATAATGTGTATGGAGTTTATAAAAAAGTCTTTTAGTTACTGTCTTACGAAATGGACGTAGTATGAAAAAAAGTCCAACTTAAAAGGGAGTTCATAGTCGATTTTGGTATTCAAAGAGTACCCTCACTAATTGTTAATGCCAAACTAATTTAAAAAATGATAATGCCAAAATAAATGACAACACAAAGGTTGACCTAAGAAGTTGGACCATGGAGAGTGAAAGTTGGGAGCACAACGTGCATGAAGAGACAAAAAAGGATCTCATGATTAGTAAATCAAATCTATTTTATTAATCTATAATCCTTCTTGTATTAAAATTATGTTAAATTGTTGTTAGATTGGTAAAGTTGAAATTTTGCCGTACTGTTGAATATTCCATCTTAGCAACTTGATACAACTTGAGATGCAAGTTGAGTCCGTGTAATTTGGTAATTGGAACTCGTAAATGGTATGTAGTCTACTCTCCTACCAACTTGGACTGTTACCGGAAATCGGGCTGAACCGAAACGTCTTTCGTCTTAAATTTCTAAATGTCGGGCTTAATTTGGTTTGGTTTTAATCAATATCGGAATCGGACTGACTCCACGGTTTAAGATTAGAAAACAACTATTCTTCAGCTTGTGTATTTATAAGGTACAAGTATATAGACAAATAAATAGCTTTGGTTACTTCGTAGTTACAATCTTAATCAGTGTGGCTGACTATACCGTGTGGTCGCTTGTTAAAGAAAAAAGTAATTCCTATAACACTGACCTAATAACCCTTAACTAACACTAGCCCTTATAACACTGACGAAATAAACCATATAACATTGAGCGAGTAAACCCTATAATATTAACAAAGTAACCTCAATTACAACTGGTTACATGGTGTAGCTAGCCACATATAAAAATTTGTAAAGAAATTTAGCTAAAACTTTTGTAGATAAAAGGCATTTAATAAAAAAAAAAATCAAATAGCATTTGTAAATTACTAGTAGATAGTATCCTAATTAAAGTATTTTTTTTTAGAGACAATTAGAGTAAAGTATTAAGTAGTACTAATATAAGAAATTAACATGGCGATTACTTTCTACTTTTCGAGGTAGTAAGAGAAAATTAAACAAACTTAGATACATAAGTATATAATAATTGTATTTTTCTCCTTTGTTTTTTAGTTGTATCATATTGAATGTTTACTCAACCAGAGAAGAAAAAAAAAAAAAAAAAAAAAAAAAAAAAAAAAAAAAAAAAAAACTTTATGAAATAAGGAGAAAGGGAGAATATTAGAGAGAGAGAGAGAGAGAGATGTAGAAGGTAATTGTGTTGTATTCTTCTCATTTCAATACACCATATTATATATACATGATGAGCATAAGGTAACCTTCATGGATAATTAAGGTTTCATTTAAGTGGGGGTTACAAAGGAGGTAATGGCAAATGAGGGGTTACAAGGAGGTTACAATGGGTGGCATTGTACTAAGGGTGTTACAAGCCATAATGATCCACAATAAATATATTTTACAATACTCCCCCTTGGATGGGCATTATTTAAAATAGATTTAATGCTCATATATGTTGCCTCATTAAAAACCTTTCCAGGAAAAACCCCGTGGGAAAAAACCATGGATAAGGGAAAAAGAGTGCAGCGTGCAATTACTCCCCCTCATTATTATATCACTGAAGATCTTTGAGACACGCAATCCAATACGATAAACTAACTTTTTAAATGTTGCGGTTGGAAGAGCCTTAATGAATAAGTCTACTAAATTCACACTTGAACGAATCTGCAAAACATTATATCGTCATTCTTTTGAAGATCATGAGTGCAGAAAAATTTAGGTGAGATGTGCTTTGTTCTATCACCTTTGATGTATCCTTCCTTAAGTTGAGCAATACAAGCTGCATTGTCCTCATATAGAATTGCCGGTGCCTCTTTCCCAGATGATAAACCACAAACTTCTTTTATATGTTGAATTACCGACCTTAACCAAGCACATTCACGACTAGCCTCGTGAATTGCTAAAATCTCATAATGATTGGAAGAAGTAGCTGCAATGGTTTGTTTCATGGAACACCTTGAAATGGCAGTACCACCATATGTGAACACATATTCAGTTTGTGATCGAGTATTATGAGGATCAGATAAATAACCTACATCTGCAAAACGCAGAGGGAAAAGGGGTGGGGTGGTCGGATTTCAGAGGGGAAGGGGGGTGGGTGGTCGGATTTGGGAGAGGAAGGGGGTGGAGTGGTCGGATTTGGGAGTGGAAGGGGTGGTTTCAGGTGAAGGGGTGGGGCTGTGGTGGTTGTTCGGTGGTGGGTGGTTGCTTGGGAATTAATTTTTTTTTTAAATAAATTTAATTTTTTTTAAAAAAAAATTTTGACCAATCACAGGCCGCCACATGTCATGTAACCTGTTATAACAGGTTACATGACCTGTTGGGACCAATAAAAAAGAATGGGGGGTAAAGGTTGGATTATTAAATAATAATCCAAAGGTGGGATTATTAAAAACGAATGGCCCAAAGGTGGGATTATTCCCATGAATTTTTCCTTAAAATTATAATTGGGGGTGAATATGAACACAAATTGAGGGTAAAAAAGAGCTTCGTAAGCTAAAAATGAGGACGAATATGTAAACAACCATCTTTAGGGTATAAACACACACTATTCATAAGAGCTCTCTCATACCTTTTCAAAGGCAGGGAAGCAAAGTGGTATGAGAGGAAGTGAGGACTAATGGAGGAGTGAGAAATGATAAAGTAAGAGAGAGTAAGAATATTAGTGGGTAAAGATATATTATTAAATTGTAAGGAGTTTCCAAAAGAGCAAGTGTAGCTTTAAAAAAACGGACGAAAATAGCAAGTGTAGCTTCCGGCGGTCCAGCCGGTACCCATATTGGGTTTGGGACAGACAATGAATGTTAAGACTTACCGTAGTGTGTTTTATGTTACTTTTTAGGTGTTCCTTTGTTCTTTATTTCGGCACCATGTTCTGCTTGCTTCAGGGTTTTTGCGGGGGATATCTTCGGTAATCATGCAGTATCGTGTGTTGGTATTGTGGGTATTAACATCGGCATAATATAGTTCGGGATACCCTTGTTGATTTTTGTTATTGTTCTGGGATTTCGGTAAGGAAAGAGGTTGATATTGGCCTCTCTAGAGGAAATGACAAAGCTCTCAGACCTGTAGACGTATTGCTTTATTCTTAGGATTGAGGCCGTGATATGTGTGTTGACTTGACAGGATCTTCTCCGTTGACATTATTTGGGTAGTCTGACTTTGTTCCGGGAAGGGTTGTTCTGATGCGGCTAATTGAAAGCGAGGCAAGTACGAAGCAAGTTGTTTTGCAATTAGTTATGTTTTTCTTCCTTTCTCTTTTTCATCTCTGGGGGAATTGGATAAGGATATTGTTGGGTTATTGAAGATGGTTCATAAGTTCTTTACGATTCAAGACATCGGGGCTCGCGCGGCTGCTTATATCTTCACCAGAGTGGGTTTTGCTATAGCTAGATGAGTGGGGGCCCAGATTGTATCTTGACTTCTCACTAACTTTTTGTAATTTGATTGACTTTGTTCATTTTTTAGTGACTTTGTTGGGTTTCTTTCTTGGTGTTACCTCCTTGCATCCTTAAAACATTTCGCCCACGAAGTAGCCTTGAGTGTAAGTCTGCAGTAAAGCGCCAGCGTCAAGAAGAGGGTATTTCTCATGCTAATTGTTCTTGGGGTGCATCGAGTGGTAGTTTGCAGGTTGTGAGGGAAACTTTGGCAGAGCTTTCTCCTTCTTTGTCGAAGATTGATGACGAGGACGTTGATTTGGATGAGCGAAATATCAAGCAGTGTAAGAGGAAGACTTGTGATGGCCATTACACTGCCGCGGTCCGGGTTCTTTCTTCTTCTAGAATTGCTCCTTATAATGATGCCACTCTTGCGGATTTACAGTAGAAGCACCCTTCTTCACCAGCTCCATCTTTGCCTGGTATACCTATTGTTAACCATAATCTCATTGCTTCTGATACTGTTGTTAGGGACCCGATTATGAGTTTTCCACGTGGCATATCATGTGGTAGGGACAGGTTACGTACGTGCTCAACACCTTATGGATTGTTTGAGTAGGGCTGCTGTGGCTGTTTCGGATGGATTAATTGACTCTATTTCTCAGGTGGTTAATCTTTTTCTAGTTGGGAAATGTCCTAAAGATTTAGGTGAGTACATTTCCAATGCTCCTTTTACACCTCTTGTCAAACTGGGTGGTGGTATTCGTCCTATAGTTGTGGGTACTATTTGGCGGCGTTTGGTTTCAAAGGTTGGTGCTATTTTGGTTGGACCTACTCTTGGACGTTATTTTGATAGTCTTCAATTTAGTGTTGGGGTGTCTGCAAGTGATGAGGCTATTCTGCATGTTGTGAATCGTTTGATTGAGGATCGCGGTTCTGATGTTGGTCTTTCTATATTGTTGGTGGATTTTCAAAATGTCTTCAACTTAGTTGATCATGCGGTCATGTTACGTGAAGTTCGTCTTCGTTGTCCGGCTATTTCGTTTTGGGTTGAATTTATTACTCTTAACCAGCTAGATTATATTACGAGGAGCACACCTTATGGTCGTCTAGGGGGGTGCAGCAGGGTGATCCCCTTAGTCCTCTGCTTTTTGCTTTATTTTTACATCCCTTGGTGTGTAAAATCAGAGACTCATTTGACGTACATCTTCAGGCATGGTATTTGGATGATGGCACTATTATTGGTGATACCTTAATGGTAGGGAAGGTTCTAGAGTTGATTATGGGGGATAGGCCTCGTCTCAAACTTCACCTCAACGTGGAAAAAACTGAAGTTTTCTAGCCTACATAGAGCATGTACAAGCTTTTCAAAGCTCTACTTTGCTTTGCATACGTACTTGTCCTCCTTGTGTTTTTGAGGCGGCTCAACATTATTTGATGTGGCTCTTCGGTCTTCCTTGGAGCATATTTTTATTGCTTCGAGGCTAAGATTTGGCGATTGGTAGTGGCAGCTTGCCACCTTACCTTTTGCATTTGGAGGGCTTGGAGTTTATTCCACGAGTGATGTTCGGCATTATGCTTTTTTCGCCTCCCGTTTGCAGTCTGCTGGATTGCAACTCAACTTCTACATGCTGGTATTGTTGGTTATGGTCATGCCTTTGACGATGCTCTGAGTCTATTTATTATAACTATGGAGTCTGACATTTTGAGTAATCTTAGTGAGGTCGTTGCCCCTAAACTCATGAAGAAATTGGCAGATATATATTTCACAAAGGTTACCGCTTCTACAGAATCCACCTTTTATTTATCTCCTCGACAATCAGCATTGTGGAAATCGTAGCAGGGAGATTATATCTCTGCTTGGCTTCGGGCGGTCCCTATTTAGGGGTTGGGTCAGACGATGAATGCTAAGACTTACCGATGTTTGTTGTGCTACAGGTAGGTGTTCCTTTGTTCTCTATTTTGACATCGTGCTCTGCTTGATTAAGGGTTTTTGCTGAGGATATTTTTGGTGATCATGCAGTGTCATGTGCTAGTATTGTGGGTATTAAACATTGGCATAATGTTGTTCAGGATACCCTTGTTGATGTTTGCTATCGATCTGGAATTTCCGCAAGAAAGGAAGTTGACAGTGGGTTGTTTGGAGGGAACGACGGGGCCCTCAAACCTACAGATGTGTTACTTTATTCCTGAGATTGTGGTCGCAATGTTTGTGTTGACTTGACAGGGTCTTCTCCTTTGACATAGTCTGGGTAATCTGACTTTGTTCCTGGACGGGTTGTGGCTTATGCGGCTCAACATAAGCGGATCAAGTATGAATCTAGTTGTCGGGCAATTTGATATGGTTTCCTACCCTTCTCCTTTTCTTCACTTGGGGAATTAGAGAAGGAGGTAGTTGCGTTGCTGAAGTGGGTTTAGAAGTTCTCGACGACTCAGGATATTAGGGCATGTGCTACTGCTAAAATTTTCACTATAATAGGCTTTGCTATAGCTAGAGGAGTAGGGGCCCAGATTGTTTCTCGGCTTCCCACTAATTTTTTATAGGTTGTATGACTATGTTTTTTTTTTTTTAAAGAAGACTTTGACTGTTTTTGAGAAATAATAATAAAACTAATAATAAATGTATTTTAAATAAAAAAAAAAAACGTTCGTTCATGTAGTCAACTCTTAACGGTTTATAATGTGAATACGGAAAAATTACCAAAGGAAACTTCATTAAGAAACTATACTCCATATTAGGCGCGTGGCAAAAGTATTTACCAAACTGAGCTTGAGGGTAAAACGCCATCCAGGGTAGCGTTTTACCCCCTAACTGAAATGTTTAAAAAAAATTCTGCCAAGGGTAAAACGCTAACTTGAGTGGCGTTTTTTCTGAACATAAAACGCCAACTAGGTTGGCGTTTTACCTTCAACATAAAATGCCAACAAGGTTGGCGTTTTACCTGCAAGATACTATAGGCAACAGGCTGTTGCCTACTACTGAAACCTGCAGGCTTCTTGCCAACCTGCTGCCGCTCCCACCACTAGTTCAACTACTGCCAACCACCACTTCCACCGCTACCAACCACCACTTCAACCACTCCCAACTAACACCAACCACCATAAGTCACCACTTCGTAATTCACCTACAACCAACAATTTAACAACCTTCATCCACCAGATCCATAAAAATCATGAATGCGTACAGTAAAGTTGATAAATGGAAAAAAAATCAGTTAAAATAAGCCAATTATATTAATAATATTTGTTTGTATACAACGTACTAGAGAATCCGATTACAACAAACTGACAAAAGCAATTCTAAGATCCTGATTCATCTATTCGACGTAATTGCTCTCTATCAACTCATGGTCTCCGACGACGAACGTAATGAGTTACAGTTCTGAAAAGATCTGGGGGAGGAGTTTGTTGGTTGGACGATGGTCCTTCCTGTGATAAGTATGGCGCAGACATGGGTACGGTGAAATCCTCCGGGATTTCACCAAACTGCGAGGACGTCGTAGGGGACGTGTGAGTTTGTCCCCTACTACTCTAGCCTACCTCACAGTGTGAATGCTGTTGGGAGACTCCACCGTACTGTTGCTATGATTGGTCCTGCCTCTGGATAAGATGACCATGACCATGTCTTTGTAAGCTAGTCACAGTCATCGCTTGAATTTCATCTATTTGCGGTATGGTGGGATATGATATGCTCAAGACTCCCAGTGCATCATGTATAGCCAACATATCAAATGCCTACATAAGTCAACACTCAGTCAATTTAATAATATTAGAAATTATAAATTGATAAAAAAAAATCCATCTAAAATTCACATATCTACTGATGTCTCCAAAAGCTAACTGATAATGAGTTGAGGGTGGGGTGTAGTTAGGGTTGATGAAGCGTCGAGTAATGCTCCTGTACCATACCATGTATGGATCGTGATACTCCATCCGGCCTTGGAAAGGCGCACCATCCACGATGTGCTGCAACCGCTGATCCCACATGTCAATGAAAGGGGCATGCTGAACTGCCCAGCTCACGTCCCCCTTTCCTCGTCGGTCTGTCTTGTCCAAGTGGACACTCGTGTCACACGTGGCGGGGACGGCCTGACAAAGGCCGAACTGTCGCATAACTCTGTCGGGGAGGTAAACCTCCACTTCCTCAAAACAGATGAGGACTGTCATATCACGCCACTCCATCTGATGATCACAAAGATATAGGGGCATGGCATCGACTAAGTCAGCGACGTACGGATCCCACGTCATCTGCATTAACACGCCGTCAGTAACATCATAATTAACTTATTGAAACAATGAACAGGGTGTTAAATTAGTTTTATATAGTGTAATTGATCACCTGAGACTCGCTTAGTCTATCGAATGCGTCTCTATAATACGGTAAACCCCTTGTTGCATGCACACGAGTAATTCTCCTCACCAGCCACCCAATTATATATAATAACAACGTTCATGAGAAATTATTAGCAAAATAAAGCGGTATCTAGAAAACTTAACAATAAGTCATACATCCCTGCAACCGTATGTCAGGTCTAGTGGAGGGAGTGGCGAAGCCTCATATGCATGCTCCTGATCGTCTTCCTCCTCCTGGCCACCCTGCCGCCGACGGCTAGCAGCCCTAGCTGGCCTACCAACGTGGATGTGCTCCCAAGCCCATAACTGTTATAAAAAATACAAGTTAAGTTTAGTCACCATTAAGTACGTAATAGTTAAAAAATGGTATGAAATTAAAGGGACTACCTGAAGCACGATCAAGGGACCGCCGATCTCCCATCTATCTCACTGGGATGCTCTACATAGATGGCAATACAAGGTCGCCAGACACGCACTACCCCAGTTGTAGTCACATATCCGCTCCCAGTTGTTCTCTAACAGCTGTAGGTAGATCAACTGTATGTGACTACCACTCTTGTTACTAAATAACAATCCTATCAACATGAACATGTACGCACGAGCGTATCTCTGAACGGCTCCATCATCAGCATCAGGAGGCAACACCCCAAATGTCTCTCGTAACCATATGCGTCTTATCCATGTGCCTTTAATATCGGCGACCTCAGGCCTCACCCCTAACACCCTCTTAACAAGGCCACGAGGGTCCTCTATAATGGGCCCTGTCACTACCCGTTTGGGATTCGTGTCAGTATCGCCATATCTCAGAGCGTGACGGTGGCCTCCCCAACTTGTAGATGGAAGGAGTAAGTCTCCTGTCTCCATCTCTCAACGAGCGCATTAATAAGCGCGCTCAATCTATAAGTGTGAAGGCCATCCTATGAAATCCGTGAAAACCCACAAAACCAATGTAATAAAGCACACGCGGGTCGACGACCCAATCTTCCACCGCCCTGCCAACGTGGTGCCTGCAAAGCAAGCACCGTGCTGGATCAACCTGTACAACAACAAAAATTACATTGTTAGATCAATTAACATAAAAATTGCCAAAAACATTAAAGATTTGGTAGGTGAAAACTTACTAACTGCTCCCATATGTCACGGCTCCGATGGGTGCCCTGAAGTGTCAGGACAGAAGGGTCAGCTGGTCCTGGGTCAGCTCGTGGCGGTCCCTGATCGTGTCCCTCCATGATCTCTGTTCATTGCACAATGTAAAACAAGAAATCAGCTACATCCTAAGTGAAAACATACACACAACTAAGACATAAACTAAGACCAGTACCAGTCACCGCCCGTTCGTAACGGACAAGTTCTCTTATTGTGTCCTTCCTAATGACAACGACCACATTTGCTTGGTGGACGGTTAGTCTCATCCATTTCATTTTGTATATGCTTCGACTTTGGCCGACCATGTCCTCGGACCATGCTCTCATCAGGAATGATTTTAGGCCCTCTGTATGTCCTCCACGTCGTCTCACAAGGAATAGGCCAGAACTGTGGGACATAAGTATTCATACGCCTCTGATCGTAGGAAACTGTCCACCCATGGTTCCTCAGAAACTGAATACTTAAGACTCACGGCTAGAACATGAGAACACGGTAGGTGAAATATCATAGGCTTGTTGCATGTATATGTTCTCAAATTGAAGTTAACGGTATGCTTATGACCTCCTTTTCTGCCTATCCTCTCTCCCCGGTGTGTTTTTACTTGGTATATACCAAGCTGACAGCTATAAATATCCACTGTATGGTATTTTGCTTTTCCATTATTCTTCTCCAAAATGGAAGTGACCTTAGGTGAGTATGCATAACCGTCAGCACGACTAGTAAGTGAACTATCCCTTTTTATATTAAAATACTTGTTAACTTTGTGGAAAGTTAACTCGACTAGGGACATGATCGACAGAAAACGAGCTCCTTTCAACACATTGTTAAATGTTTCTGAGAAATTTGTAGTACATATTCCATACCTACGACTAGCGTATGAAACAAGGACCAGCTGCGAAATGGCACATCCATAATGTACTCTAGGGACTTGACACATGATTCACCGATCGAATGCATATCTTCATCAATTTTTTTTTTTCTTGGCGTTGGTAAGCAGCATCCTTGAACCTACCTCTCATGTTGTTGTTCTTCACATGAGTCCTAAAGTTAGAGGCCATGTGTCAAACGCAAAACCTGTGAAATGCCCGTCGCTGATGAAACCCAACATTCGGGTCAGTCATTACAACAATAATCCCAGCATGTCGGTCAAATATAACATATAGGCCATCTCGATTAGTAACATGAACCCGAATGCAGCTTAGAAACCAAGACCAACTAGAGGTGTTTTCCCCTTCAACTATTGCAAATGCTAGAGGAAATACCTGAAAATTAGCCTTGTAGCAACCAAAAGTGTGCCTTTATATTTCCCGTACAAGTGTTTCCCATCGATAGAGAGAACAGGCATGCAATGTTTAAACCCATCGATGCAAGGCTTGAAGGCCCAAAACACTCGTTCAAACACCTCCATGTTGCTGTAGTAAAAGCCTTCAGCAATAGCTTTGTATTTCCATAAAACTATGGTGCCCGGGTTTGACTCTTGGAGGCTTGCATGAAAAAGGAAGTTTGTCGTACGAACTGTCCCAATCCCCAAAAATTTCAGCAATAGCTTTCTGTTTGGCATACCATGCTCTTCGATAGGGAACAACAAATTGAAATTTGTTGGAGATGAGATGTTGTATGAATTCAACTCTTAAACATGGATCTTTCTTCACAAATGACTTCACATAGTCACATATAATGCAGGAGTCCAAGTGTCACTGATCGCTAGGCGGAACTTCATTCACGCAGTTCTCACAATGTGGGCCCTTGTAAGATACGATCTTAAAGGCATGTGTGTTCAAATTTGTTTTTATACCACGTAGCGACCAACCACACTTCCTCTTGCATTTAAGATGAAGGACATTCTCATTCGAGGTCACCGTGGTGTATAACTGATTCCGTTGTATGGAATACAGTTTCACCATTTCTTGGAGCACTTTCTTACTGTCAAAAATCATGCCCTTCTCAAATTCTCCCCCGACAACAAACGAAGTCTGGTTACTGGAATCAGCCCAATACATGTCCACCTCATAGTTCTCATTTATTTGAGTGAACCAAGGCAATGGAGTTCTAGCCACAGCATCATCAACAAACAATTCGTTGTTTATAACATCTTCCTCATCTTTGCCCTCACCCTCGTCATTTGTATCCTCATACATATCAAGAGCAGACAATTCGTTGTTTACAACCGTTTTCGCAATCACCAAAGTTTGAGATGGTGTTGCTTGAACATGTTCTTGCGTGGGAGAGTAACTGTGCAACTGCATTGGTGATGAAATGTCATTGTTTGAGGTAGATGGACCAGGTTGCTGCAACATTGACACCGGCACCCCTTCATGTACAGGTGCAGTAAAATGTGAACTGAATGGAATGTCAAATTGATCGTCGTGTAACATTCTACTGAAAGATCCCATTCCATATTCAAATGAAGGAATGTTGTATGAGGGCATTTGTAACGAGCTTGTATTGTATGAGGGAAGATATATAGGTTGCTGCTCTGTCAATCGAATAGTCTGTTGAGTACATATAGGCACCATTTCCACATACAAATTAGTGGGAAGAGACCTCATTGCAACGACACCCCTCAAAATCTCCAAATGGTCATCATTCAAAATAGGTAAGATTTGAATCCCACTTACACTCTCAAACCTCATTTTAATGTTCAGTTCAACATTCGTTGGGTTCGAACCAGTTATAGTATAAACCTTCTTCAACAAATCATTGTAAGTCGTACAAGGTTTCAATGCCAATGGTTCCATTTTTCCTCCTCTATACTCGCCGTTCGATTCGACACAAAATTTCACCCTCCCAACGGCATAACAAAACAATCAATTGCGAAGCCATGTTCTACATAACAATCGGAACACATATTAGATGACAGAAATACACAACACAACTAAAACCACAATGATTCCATTAAATCCTCAAGCTAAGCGTATATACAATGTAGTGTTCAACAATATACTTATTTACCTACTTAATCAACAATGTAGTATATATTTAAATGTACCTAATTCAACAAATTTTGTGTGCAATAGTGCGAAGATAAAATCTGTCTAAAATATCTAATACTACATACTGCATAGAAGTTTGGCTTAGACTTGCTCATGCACAGACTACTATAGTTAGTCATAAAAATAATGTATTCAGCTTTTGTCATTACAGTCATAAGATAAATGTAGTGCGAACAAGTTTGCTACACTGAGTGATAAACTCGTAATTTGTAATTATTTGAAGCGGTATAATTTGATATGATTTCAATACACAAATATTTTAACAGTTTCTGTCAATGAACGAAACAATAATCATATAATAACTACCTCAAATTTTAAGTCTTCAAAGTAAAATTCCTATTTCCAAATCAAAAGGCAGGTACAAGATAACAATACCTACTATTGCTACTAAATCAATCACTAGAATCTACAGATGACACTGAACTTCCAAATAAACCAATGCTCAGACAAACACAAGAGCAACCAATAACACTTAAGAAAGCAACATCAAAGCAAATGGGCTAATACATGAATAGAAACCACAACAATTTGTAAATTACAACAATATAGTACATATATTGTAAATTACAAACATAAATTCCCAAAAAACATCATAAAGTAAAATAGTTAAATTAAATGCATACCTCAAATACGATTAATTTACTGTGTAAAGGTGTTAAACAAAGGAGGAATAATTTTTAGTGAGTATGATGAAGATCTAAGCAATGGGAAGTGATGAATTTGCTGCAAATATGGAGGATTGGCCAAGGACCATGCGCGGGTTAGAGTTTGGGAATTAGGGGTTTTTTGTTTTTTGAAGAACAATGAAAAAAATAGAAGTAATTTGCGAAATATACTCGATACAAAAACGCCAACTAGGCTGGCGCTTTTAGTACAACGGTAAAACGCCAACTAGGTTGGCGTTTTTACCTTGGCCAAATTTTTTTAAAATTTCAGTCAGGGTAAAAATGCCACCCTGGATGGCGCTTTTTCCTTGACTGAAATTTTTTAAAAAATTGGCCAAGATAAAAACGTCACCCTGAAAGCTTAGTTTGTTAAATAGTTTTGCCACGCGTCTACATTGGAACATTGTTTCTCAATTAAGCTCAATTTGGTCATTTTTCCGTGAATACTCATAAACAACAATGTGGCTTGCAGCTTGCATATTCTTGTACGAGTTGTACCAGTCACTACTCATTGGTCGTTGCTTAATATAATTATGACCTTTGATTCTTAGTCACCTTCTAACATTTTTTTCTATGAGTTGTTCTTCAATCATTTTCATCAAATAGAAAAAACAAAATTATACACTAAATACTTAAATAAAAGTACTAATGACTTTTCTAGTGAGAAAATGTGCTTATATGATTAGAGAAATATATTGAAAAGTCTAACTTTCTTCTTAATTGACCAAAATCCTTCTTTTCGTATAGTAAAAATCAAAATTAATTGAATGTATTGAGCTAGCCGATCATGGTACATAATTTCGTTCTAATGAACTGAATAAAGGATCAAATGATTGTGTAATCATACAATACTTATAAACTTGTTAATCAATAAAATAAGAAACAAAGTACAAGTCATCTAATAATAAAAAGTTGTCATTTTCTCAAAATAACATTATCATCATTTTACGCGTTATGATATTATAATTTAATTAATATGTAAGTCTGTTTGTAAAACATGATGCAACAATAGGATATAGTCAATTTGATTTTAACATTTTAATCAAAATAATTCAAATTAAAGTTTTTAATGTACTTGTGTTTGAATGTTTGATTGATAGCCTAATCATTTTGAATAAAAAGTACCATAATTGTTTAAAGAAAGTTCAAAAGTAATATACTTCGTACTAAACTAAAGCCTTTTATTTTATTTAGATTTTGATTGATCCAACATATATCTACTCCAAGGAAGCCATGTTTAGTCAATGTCGGAAAAACAATTATAATATAAATAATAAATAATATTATAAAAGCAAGCAATCTATAACAACATATGGAAAACGTCCTCTATCGTTTAGGAATAGTTGAAAATCACAAGTGATGAGATTAATGGCAATGCATAAACAAAGACGAAAGACAACATTCTCATACATCACAAGATCATCGTCTACACGTAATTAAATTGTAACCAAGAAATAATTATAGTAGTAATAAAGTCAATTCAACCTTTCAATTTTTGTTTACACTTTCTGAAGTTTCTTCAATAATTTGGTTAGCGTGACAGCAATGAAGTACAAATATCGTCCTTTGAAGCTAACTAATTGTGAGAATTTTGATAATTCTAGCTCTTTAACTATCAAATAAGAAACCTGAGTTGAAAATTTAACTTCCGTGCATTGATCTATGGCAGCATTTAGTCACTAATCTACGACATGTTTTGAATCGAATTTAATCAACACGAATAATTTGTATGTACTAATAAATGATACTTGTATGTACTGTCTTCGTCTCAAGAAACTTTTAGGATAGAATATGGAAAAATACATTTGAAATTTCCCTCTGCCTTTCCAATTGTGACATCCACTACTTTGCAATAAGAATTTATAACACAACATCAATTTTATTAGAAAAAAAATATATTATTTTATTAGTGACAAAATTAAATCATATACTTTGTATAAAATAAAGATGATTTTCTACTCTGACTTTTTACTTTTCTTTTAAGCAATATATTAACTATTAGCTAAGACTTGTTCTCTTCACTTGTAATAAGCTATTATGGAGGAGGTGGAGCAATTGTGGACACTAAAAGAAATCAAACGAATAGGAAGTGCTTTCCAGAGGTGTACAATATGGAAAGTAGGAAGGGACCAAGTTTCTCAGGCTCACGAGCTTGCTAATGATTGTAGAATTAATTTTACTACTTTTTGTAATGTTTAGTTTTAGTTTACCTCTTGTCAAAAAAAAAAAAAAAAAAAAAAAAAAAAAAAAAAAAAAAAAAAAGCTAGTATTCTAGCTATAGTATGATTTCGATAATGTATTATTACAAATTTTCTAGTTGAGTTGATATTCATCTTTCAATAATTTTTTATCATTTATAGAATAAAATACAAGGAAAACAATATAAATTAAAGTGAAATCTTATAAGATTCACTTGTTTCAGTGTGTACTTTTTAAATATGTAATAATATTAAGGATAATTTGTAAATTACCACCCAAAAATGGATCCATTTTTGAAATAACCACCCGATTAATTCTTTATTTTTATTTCACCACCCTTTAAATTAAATAATCACTAAGATTACCACCCAATTTAAAATTCCGGTGGTTTTTCGTCTGTGGGCCCACCTAACAGGTGGTAATTTAAAAAGTTCACCCATACTTTCATTTTTTCCGTCAATTTTTTCCCTCTCCATCTTCCTACCTTCTTCAACCTTCTTCCTACCTTTTTCAATCTTCAATCCTCCATTTTTCTCTAACTTTCTGACAAATTCTTTTTCTCCCCCCTCCCCCACTTTCTCCCTCCTCCATTTTTCTCCATTTTTCTTTTATCAAAATGATGAAAAAATCTTCAAATTTAAGCAACAAAGTTTGGAGTATAGCTTCTTTAATGGCGGAACTCCCTCTTTCTCCTTCCTCTTTTAATTTAATTAACAACTTTTGTAATAATTGGATTGGGGGTTTTCTGAAATTAAGGTTCATGCTTCAATTGAATTGAAGGTTTTCTTAAATTAGGGTTCTTATTTTAATTGAATTGGGGGTTTTCTTAAGTTATGTTTGTGTCTATCAAATGGGATGGAAGACTCAACCTTCTCCACACATCTCTCAATGCCGGACATCTACGCAATATATGATCAATTGTTCCTCATTGCTACAACATACAAAGCACCTCGGATCATCAGTGAGTTGTCGTATATATCTATTCTTGTTTGTCATCAATCTCTCTTGTACTGCTAGCCATATAAAGAAACGAATTTGCTGTGGAGTTCGTTGGAAGTCTCCAGATAAATATCCATCAGCCACGAATCTCTTTCCCTAATAGTATCAATAGCAGATTTGATTTACTGAGCAAGTTAGCATCAATGCATAGAAATAGGCTTTGATGTGATCCCAAAAACCAGAATCTCATGCCTTATTTAGATTCCCTAAATGATACAGTAGAATGTGAATAAAAGAAAGATGCCCACTCATACTTATATTTTGACAGCTAGAAATTTCTGAAATCAGACATGGCAAATTTATTCTCTTGATGAAAATGTTGTTTAATAATGATGAAGTTAGTAACATGCTCAAATGGAGATAGGGTGCAGATTTAATTACAAAAGTTGTTAATTAAGTTAAAAGAGGAAGGAGAAAGAGGGAGTTTCGCCATTAAAGAAGTTATACTCCAAGCTTTATTGCTTAAATTTGAAGATTTTTTCATCATTTTGATAGAAGAAAAATGGAGGAGAGAGAAAGTGGGGAGGGGGGAGAAGAAGAATTTGTCAGAAGGTTAGAGAAAAATGGAGGATTGAAGGTTGAAGAAGGTAGGAAGAAGGAGAGAGAAAAAATGAAAATATGGGTCAAAATTTTAAACTACCACCCGTTAGGTGGGGTCCACAGACGGAAAACCACCGGAATTTTAAAATGAGTGGTAATCTAAGTGATTATTTAATTTAAGGGGTGGTAAAATAAAATAAAAAATTAAACGGGTGGTTATTTCAAAAATGGATCCATTTTTGAATGGTAATTTACAAATTATCCTAATATTAATAACTTTTAATACTAAATACTTCTAATACTAAGTACTTAATAATACACAATTAACACAATTTGTAAACAAAAATTAAAAATTTTGATCTAAGT